GAAGAATTGCTGGAACAGTGTCCCTACATAGCTAAGAGGGAAGGGGACCTACTGAATAAATGGAGAGTTTGGCTTCAGAGAGGAGCCTGGGTAATTTATCTGTGGTAACAGATGGGAAAACAGAGCACAGGGGTTCAGGTGCTGATATGTGGGAAGATGAATTTGTTGGAGTCTATTGAAGTTCTATTTTGATTGCTAAAATTTTCTGCTATGAAGGAAGCAAGGTTATTATCTGAAAGTGAGGTAGGGAGAAGAGTTTGGAGATTTAAGGAATAGATCTTCTAGGAGAGAGGGAGTGTACAGCCAGGAATTGTATTTAAACAGGGTTCCAGTTTTGACAAGTGAGTACTGGATGCAACAAATGCTCAAAAGAGTTAACAGTATACACAAGGGAATCACTGTAACAAGTAACCATGGAATTTAAACTAGATAAATAAGGAAGAGGGGCCATTCAGGGAGTGAAGGATAATGAAAAATTTGTACCATCAATGGATTAGAGGTCTTTGTGGCATTAAAAGATTTGGGGGTTCACGTACTCAAGAAAGTAGGTTATAAGGATAGGAGATAGTGGTCCAAGTATGGAATAAATTATGTGTGTGTAGGGGGGTCCAGTTATTTTATTGACAAGGTTACAAGTGTAACTATGGAAATAAGAAACCAAATCATTAGAGGAGAGTAGTTCAAAGATCTCAGAGACTCAAAAGTTGAAAGGACCATCTTGTCAGAGAGTTCTCTTAACATTAATCTTTATCAGATATGCAAATGTTTTTATTGAATGAAAAGTTCCAGTATATTTATTTCAAGGGTAAAAATCTCATAATTTAAAAAGAGCAGAGTGAAACCGACAAGAAATACCTGTTTACATCATTTGTCCACTTGTCTATTAGTTCTTTTTCTATTTGACTCCAGCTGTGCTTTATATATTAAAGGTATTACTTTTATCTTATATGTTAGAGTTTTTATCCTAGTTGGTCTCTGCCTTTCATATTTATGTTAAATCTTATTGTATATGTAAATACAACTTTTATGTATTCAAATGTAAAATTCTTTTATAATTTCTCATTTTGCTTTTATGCTCTAAATGACTTTTATTCTTATTCTCAACCAAAATCAGATAATCACTTATATCTTCTTCTAGTTCTTTTATACTTCATATTATTTTATTTTTTATATAATCTGCATGAAATTTATATGGAGTATAATAAAAAGAGAGGATTCAAACTTTTTGCAAAGAAATTATTTAGTTATTAGCACTATTTGTTGAAATAATACATCCCTACTAAAATCCTATTATAAATGTTGGTCTGTTTCTACGGTTTCTGTTATATTGTGTTGATACACTGCTTAATCTTATGCCAATATTCCATTATTTAATTGTTACAGCTTTATTAGATGTTTAAATATTGATGTTGCTAACCTTATTTTTTTTAAATTTATTTCTTTTATTCTCTCATTTATTTATTATCCCAAGTGAACTTTAATGTCATTCGATCAAGCTGCAATTTCATAAGAATTGCATTAAATTTATAAATTAGTTTGGGTAGCAGTGACACCTTTACAACATCATCTTGCCCTCCAAGAACAAAACGTCTCTCCATTTCATTGTCTTTTATGTCCCTGAAGGAGGTTATGAAGCTTTTTAATGTAGGTTCTGCTCAACAAAAATTGCCATTTTATTGTCCCATATATAATCATTAGTACTTTTAGCACTGTCCGCTTTACCTAAAATACCACATTGCCTTTGGAAAAAATGTTGAGTCATTCTCTTGTTCAGAGCAATTCAAGAGATCTTTAATTGGTCTAATGAGGAGAACTACAAAATCCCCTGTTCTAGACGTCTTTATTCTAACCCCACATCCAATGAGACAAGTGTAGGAAAAGCTTTTAAGTAGAATTCAATATGCTTACTCTTTTAAGTATTGGTAATGAATTACTTTTGAACATGTGGAATAAAAATATCGACTAATGTTATCTGTAAGTATGTAGAGTCCTAATAAGAAAAGGTCACAAATGATAACATGAATGTTTGTTTTCATTAAGATTATTTGCTTTAGTTTTATATAAAAAAAAGAAAGCTTAACAGATTTAGTTGGCTACTCATTTTGTTGTTTTTCCATTTACCCTCTAGTTTCATACCAGCTAATATTGAAAATGTTTATCAAGTCCAAAGAAAAACTTTACCAAACCCAAATGATTATTCAGGCACTAATATTATAGGTAAAGATTTTATAGATATCATTATGAGTACCAATTTTTTTTTTTTTAATCACAACAGGGAGATCGAGGCCCAGCAGGTCCCCCAGGATTAGCCGGCATATCAGTAAGTCCAGATGATCATACATTATTTTTGCAGGTAAAGAGTTCTGTCTCCACAATAAACCTACAGCTAGGTATCCAGAAGGGCTGGGGAGCATACCATAACTCTTTTGACATTAGGTTCCTGAAATCTCCAGTTTAAAAAATAAAACTACCTGTCTTTCTTCCACCTCAAACGTGCTCCTTTATTTTCGCCTTTAAAAAATTTTTTTTTTGTCTTTGTTCTTTTTTCTTCCGAACTCACTTAAGTGGGGTGGGAGGAGCTCAGTTACCTGTGATGATACATCAATGTATGAGCACAGCATTGAGGAGCTTGTTTGGTTTCTCTGTTCGTGTCATATATCACGGTTTCTTGCTCAACAAAATGTAAAGTTCTCATCCTCAGGCCATACGCAGGTTCTTTGTATTAAGCTGCAATCTGCCTGAGTTTTCTCTCAGGCCAGTGTTAGCAGAGCTTTATTGCTGCTAATGTTTCCTCGTAAACTAGCCCTTCAATCCTCTCAATCATTTTTGTTGCTCTCTGGTGTCAAATGTTTTAATCTCATCAAGGTCTTTTCAAATGAATAGAAAGTGCACCAGGAAAGGTTGAAGTCATTTCTCTGAGCCCTGGGGATCATTCTGATCTTCATTCATGATGCTCTAATTAAAATTTTGTGGTCATGCTTTATGAATAAGAGCCCAATAATCCTCTTACTAGGTGCACCTGCAGGGTAGGCACAGGGTAAGAAAGTCAGTGGAAACTGTGAGCTTGAACATGAGAAAGATAAGCAAGGCCCCACCACTACCCATTGACATCCACTGATACCCAACACCACCCAGAGCCACCTACCACCACTCACTGCTATTCACCACTACCACCACCCATATTTAAAAGACCATTAGTCATGCTACTTCACTCTATTTAGTTGCTAAATCTAATAACAAAATTAAAACCTATCCATAGTCCACAGAAAGCTATCATTTACAGAGGAGGACATCCCCATATTTAGTTGTTCTAAATCAAGTTAAAATATTAGTATGATTGAAAAATAACATGAAAATATTTTCTTTAGCAAGTACTTCAGAATTTTTTATACGAGAAAGTATTCTTCTTCACCTGAAACTAATACAAAATAATATCGAATGCCAACTTTAATTGAAAAATTTAAAATAATCGCTAAGGAGAAAAAAAAGTATTCTCTCTGGAAGTTGGCTCATACCCATTCCTTCCCACCTTCCCCCCTCACTACAATGCCTAGCAACATATTTGAAACCCTGTTTCCAGAATTTCTCCTTACAACCTGCCCCCCTTATATTCATGCACACCCTGTTTTTGTTTTCACATTGTAAGCTAATGCTCCACTGTATTTGCCCAAATTACTTTTGGCTATTACCCTAAATTAAGTCTTTCTTCAGAGAAAAACTCTTTGCAGCCATTGAAAGTATTTAAAAGACGAATGACAGGCTTAACAGGTGATCCAAATGTAGAATCCAAACATTTTTGAAAGCTGCAGCATGATTGACATAAGGAGTAAAACAAAATTTTCTTATCTCATAATTAAGAGAATAAAATGACAATTACAAAAATCAAGAAGGGGTAAAAATTTTGCACATTGCAAATATATAACACTGTGATTAAAAACACAGCTTTTTATAACTGGACCTTACTATGGCTCGGAAAATAAAAAAGTTAAAAGATTCTGGAAACAGTGGGAATACTTACACAAGAGTGTGACTATACTTAATAGTTAACCACCATTAAGTTTATTCAAAACCGCTGAATTGTACACTTAAAATAGTAACCACTGAATTATATAATAGTAACCACTGATTTGTGCACTTAAAATGTTTAAAATGGTAGATTTTATGTTATGTATAGTTTACCACAATAAAACATTTTTAAAGGTGGTTGTTCTGAATGAAGCAGGGATGAGACCTACCTAGTCAGATACGTCACGGTCACTCTGCTGAGTACGAAGGATAATCAATCCTGCTCTTCCTAGAACAGACCAGATGATCCCTTGTAGTATATTCGGGCCTATCCAGGGATTTCTCCAGGGCTGCTTTCTCTCTCTTCCTCCCAGGATGGCATATGGGTCCACAGGAGGTAGTGTCTGTAAGTTCTGGCAGTGGGCGGGGCCCCTGGCTCTCCGCCCCCCACCCTTCAGCTCTCTGAATTGTCTGCTGGCATTAGCTGACCTCTGGGACTGCTGCTGACTATCAAGTCCCCAGTCTTTTTGTCTCAGATCTCGAGGCCCAAATACTCTGCACCCCTAGGTCCCAAGTCAAGACCCTTTTGGACATTGGCCTTCTCAGCTCTTCACATCCTCCGACACGGGCATGCAGGAACTTTGGGAGCTTGTGCTTGCCCACACAGGCTGTGGGAAGCCCAGGGTGCTCTCTCAGGCCGGTGTCTGCCCAGTTTCACTGCTCAGTCATATCTGTACATGTGAGGGGGTCTCCTTCCAGAATTCTAAACAGCAAGTGGGGAAAAATCCCTCCCTTTTCAGCTTTCTTGCAACCTACTGTGGTTTCTACGGTCTCAGCCCTACACCTTCATCTTCATATTGCCTTTCCCAACCACCTTAGGTCCAAGGGACAGGAGGCAGTTCTCTCTCAAAGGCAACATCTTTAAGCCTAATCTGGACACTTTAGCACTTTTTCTCTTCCAGTCTCTACTAGACCATCTTCCTCACTTGTTTCTCTCTGTGGTCTCTCTACCCCAGGATTTTTCTATTGTCAGTTCTCCAGAACACATCTGTTGATGAGTATTGGAACAAATCAACCTGTCTCTCTCTTTCAGTGAAACACAGATTTCAAATCAAACATGCCCTGTTTCAGGCTATCTTACTATAAACTTAAAAACCCTCTTGTGAAACTCAAAGTCTAGAAAAGATTTCTTTGACTCTCTGTGCCCTCCCACCTTCTAAAGTAAAGAACTGCCAGTCAAATAGGCGCCAGAGGGATTTCCAGAAATAAAGATACATTCATTTAATATTTTCAAAAATATTATCCTTCCCTCCACCATACACACATATGCACATTCAGAGAGCTGTACTCCAGCCTGTGCCTTAGAGCCTGCAGAGCTGAGTGTGTGTCCCCATAGACTCTATTCCATTAGGAATGCCATTTTGGTGTAGAGATCCACAGTGCTGACAGCACATTAAACTCACAGTTGGCAAGCGGGAGCATGTGACATCATTCAGTAATTTGGCTCCTAACATTTCTCTTTGATTTGATTTCCCAGGGGAAACCTGGAGCTCCAGGGCCTCCAGGAGTTCCAGGGGAACCGGTGAGTTGCTAATTACCTACTTAACAGTTGTACCTGTGTTATACTGCATTATGTCTTAAAGCTTTCCTGGCAATTAATACTTATTTGTCTGTGGACATGTCTATAGGGTGAGAGAGGACCTATTGGAGATATAGGTTTCCCTGGGCCAGAGGGACCTTCAGGAAAGCCAGTAAGTACTTTTTACTGTTTAAAATTTTCCAGTTTAAGAATTGTTCTAAGCTTTGCCTCTTAACCTATGTCCTCAGAAAATCTGAGATTTGAAAGAATAAGTAGTTTCCAAGAAAGTAAAAGCAGGTTCTGCAAATGGGTTTTTTTGGGGTGTGGTTCTCATTGAGTGTCCTAGCTCTTTATAAGGTATCTTTATGTCTTACACAATGAAGAGAAAGGTAAGAATATTTTTTTTGGATGCCAGGAAATTAGACTATTTCTTTAATGTTCTCGGTGGAGATAAAAAATAAAATGGCCTGTCACATCCTAAAATATAAAGAAGCTAAAGACTCACAGATATAATACCTGCGTGTTAAGCCAAAGACTAAAGTAGAAGTTATTTTCTCAGATTACCTTCTTTATTTATGCACCTTGTCCTTATACTTTTATAAATCATTGCTGCCAAATATATCATTCCCTTACATCCTAAAGAGCTCTTGGCTACTGATATATAGTATTGCTGTGACATCGTAACGGTCATTCCTACTAATTCAATTCAACACATCTAGTCCATGCTGTTTGCTAAGGATGTGCTGACCCCTGAGGAAGGGGTTATAAAGATGAATAAGACATACCCCAATCTCAGGTTTATTCTTTATAGAAGGTCACTGCTATCTTTGCTCGTTTATTTGCTGTGGCGTGTCTGAGAAGGGGCTGCTGTTAGGAGAAGTAGGGGGCGAACAAGAAGGACAGCATTCATGAGGCTGGTTTAATATCTCTAGAGAACCTTCACAGTCAGTGCATTCTCTGGCTCCCATCTCCCCAGAAAAGACAACATGAAAAAATGAGAAGCATCTATAATCTAGGATTAGGAAGATCTGGATTTGAATTATGACTTAAAGAGTTTTATGAGTCACTTAAGTAACATGACATATGGTAAGCATTTTCAGTGCCTGCCCATGGGAAGTGCTCAATAAATGTTAGTTTCATTCCCTGCCTCCCCTTCGCCTCCTCTTACCAACTCCCTGTTTCCAACCCCTATAAGCCATCTTGTAATGGTTGCCATTGGGTTCCCAGGAGATTAGGCAAAAAGCAATATGTTCATCCCACAGTACTTCTTGAGCACCTACTGCATTCTAGACACTGTTCTGAATGCTAGCAACTCATGGGGTTGACATTCTAATATAGAGACACAGACAACAAACAAAGAAATACACACACAATTTCAGGTAGAAGAAGATCTAAGCAGGGTGAAGTACTGGAGTGGCATTGAAATAGGGTGGTTAAAAAAGGCATGCCATTTGAACAAAACCTGCATGAAGTGAGAGATCAAGCCATAGGGAGTTTGGGGTGGAGACACATTGTTTCAAGAAAAGGAGATGGCCAAGAGAGTGTGGCCAGGAGAGTTTGCTAAAAGAACAGCAAAAGGCATAAAGTTCAGAATGAACTTTAAGCTAAAGAAGAATAGTAAAGACATTGAAGGAGAGATAGGCAGTGGCCAGGCTACAAGGAAATTCTAGGCCATGAATGCAGTTTGGGTTTCATTTGAAGCACAATGGGAGCTCATTAGAGTGGGGAGGAAATGGCTGGAGTGTGTTTTAAGAGAGACTCTGACTATTGTGTGGAGAGTGGGCTATAAGCAAAAGCAGACAAAACAGTGAGGACAAACTGCTGTAATCCCCATGAGAAATAACAATGGTGGGAACAGGGAGGCCATGAGGAGGAGGAGAATTTAGGGTGTACGTTGAAGGAACTGCCAATTATACTTGCTGAAGGACTAGATGTGGACTGTGAGGACGAGACAAATCAAGCTGTGGTTTGGGATCTGAGCACCCATGTAGGTATATGGTCTTTGGTGTCATGGGAAGGACCGGAGATGGTTTGGGGAAGGAAAACCAAGAGTTGTCTGTTTTGGACACGTTCATCTTAAAGCACTAGTAGGTATCCAAGTGGAAATGTCAGGCAGGCAGCAGAATTAAGTCAAATAAGCATCTGGAATTAATGGAACGAATTAATGGAGGACTGCAGAGACAGATTTGGGTTTTTAAACCCAAGCCTGGAAGAAATGAAGTCACGTGGATAAGGAAAGGGAGAGAGCACTTCAGCTGTTAGGAAGAAGATCTGACGAAAAGACTGAAAAGGTGCAGCCAACGATATATAAAGAAAACCAGGCAGATGAGGTTTCCTGAATGTCAAGTGTTTTAAGAGAAAGGTATGATGGAGTGATGAACATAGAGATGAGATAAACACGAGAACTGACAATTCTCCACTGTCTTTAAAAATGTGAAGGTCATTGGTGGGAGAGATTACAGCAGCTTAATGTCTTGATAAGAAGGATCCAGTTGAGAGGGGAAATTTTGATGATACGAGGGAGTGGAGATAACTTTGAGTAGGGGGAGAAGATTTGTATTCTACTCAGAAGTAGAAATTGCCTCAGCGAGGAACAGGGCAGTTCATTCCTCTTAAGGGAGGGAGGGTAAGAGGCAGAAGTCCAAGTACAAATGCATGTAGCTGGTGGTTCTGGTGGAGAACACATGAGATGGTTCTCTTCTGTTTATTTTCTCACAGAAAGAAGAATCGAGGTCATCACTTTAGCAGGAGAGGTGGGGTGATAATGCTGGACATTTGAAAAGACAGGAAAACATGTGAAATGGCACTTTTGGAGAGAAGGAAGGAGAGTCAAGTCAGGAAATACAGAAAGGTGGCCTGAGAATGCAGGGGGCTGCTTCCCACTTGCGGCCCTGGGTTTAGACTAGAATGAATGAGCTCTATCCACAGTCTGCTGCTCAGATGCAAGCGTGTAGTGGATAGAAAGTTTCTTGTTCCTGGGAATGGATTCTTCCAGATAAGTGAGATGAGGGGAGAGAGAAGCAAGTACACATAGGTTATTGTAAAAATCTCAGCAATCAGAACTCCCCTGTGAAAAGCAAGTTAGCAACATGTTCATATACAAAAGAGAGCACATATTTATAGTCTTTGGTGAATTATAAGAGACCTCAAAAAAGAAAAGACCATAAGGATTATTTCCTTTCTTATATTGTTACCAAAGACAGAATTCTATTTTTACGCTAGATTTATCCTCTTTTATTCAAGTGACACAATTGTTTTTTTCAAATTTTCTCCTTAATCAGCTTTATCTTTATTGCTTGTGTTCTTGGATGTCATAAATTTTTTGAACTGTGCACTTCAGGTAACATGTTCTTAGTTAAAGTAGTCTATATCATTCCCAGGATGTTTCAGAGAGATTGGGGGACTATGGTTGAGCTCTCAACTGTGACAGATTTTAGTGTAATTTACAACAGTGAAAACATGCGGTTGTCTGCAATTCCATCCTCATAGAATTCATTCTAGCACAATAAAAGTCTCCTAGGCTTTTCAGAGGAGTATGTCCATGCAATTGCCTGCTGGCTACGAAATCATTTCCTTCACCTTGATCTCCTTCTTCAAATCAAATCTCAAAAATACATCTGTCGTGGGACCCTAGGTATTTGATTTGACCCCCAAGTGCTTTTCCTCCTCACACCTCCCAGCTAGCAGCTCCCCTAGTCTTATAAATCTCTGAGTAGGACTGGACTTTATTACCACCTCCAAAACTTTCTCGTCAAGTTCAGGAAACTTCCAGTTTACTAATAAAATGCCACTATTTAATACTCTCAAAAAAATATGATTAACGATTTCTTACTTTTCTTTCCTATTTCCAACTGAAAAATAACAGTCGTTCCCTGGGGGACAGTTTATTTCATATAAGATCATGCTCTGGCTATGTTACAAAATTTCCCCAGCAGCAACTGAGACCTTTACTGAGAATGACTCTCTGTGCTGGAAAATTGTTAGAAGATAACAATACATGCCATACAACAGCACCATGAGCACCTTCCAATTACTCAAGATGTACCTAACAGAGTAAGGGAAGTAATCCTGTTGCCTGTTTACAGTAAGCGGGGCTTTTTCTGTTACTTCAGTCAATTCTCAGTCTTAAGGCCATTATTTTATCCTCACTTTATAAGCAAAGAAGCTGATGCTATTAGATTAAGTAAATTGCCTGAAGTAAATGGAACTTTTAAGTCACGGAGTCAGAATGTAAACTTGGAGCTCATCTGAGTCTATCGCTTTTGTTTTCCATTTCCCCACACTGCTTCACCAAAATCTCAGTAGAAGCATGATTAAGTTCTTGGAACTTTGCCCTTTTTCTGTGTTTAACCATGCCTATTAGTGCAGAATTAGAAATATTAATCATTTTTTGTCTTTATAGGGAATAAATGGAAAAGATGGATTACCAGGTGCTCAGGTATGGAAAATACCATTTAAAATAAATGTTCTAATGCAAAACTGCATCCAGAATACCTGCCAGGATACCTATTCAAGCAGATTGATGATAAACCTCAGCAAGCAATGATTTTTAGTGTTAGCATCTGTTTTTCAGGGCATCATGGGTAAGCCTGGAGACAGAGGCCCCAAAGGAGAACGGGTATGTGTATTGCTATTTTGATCGTTATTTAAGTCTGTCTGCTATAACTTTTCCATCATCTGAGTTACACAATTATGTATGTAGACCCCTGGTAACCTCCCAGTATGTATGTGATCCTAGGTCTCTGCTAGGCATAAAATAGGACAATTAGGACAACCTACATGATTGGCTTTTCATACACAGCTAAGTCTGGTTTGCTATTTCAGTTTAGAAAGCTTTTATCATCCTTCTGTCTCACATACATACCCCTACTAGAACCATCATCCATGTTCTTTTACCTAGAGTAGGATTTCTCAACTTCAGCACTGTTGATAGTTGGGGGCATATAATTCTTTGTTGTGAGTGCCTGTCCTGTGCGTGGTAGAGCATTTAGCAGCATCTTTGGCCTCTATCCACTAGATGCTCCACCCTCATTCCAATTGTGACAACCAAAAAGGTCTCTAGATATCATCAAATTCCTCTTGGGGAGAAAAGTTTTCCTGATTGAGGACCTCTGACCTAGCAGAATACTAAGTTATAAGGAGGACGGTATGAGGGCATAGAGAAATGGAAAAGGGAACTGGACATATAAAGTTACTAATTATGCCAATTATGTTGTATGTTTTATTTGAATTATTTGGGTTGTTAATATCATTATCTCAACTTCCCATTATATTCTTTAATAAATCTTTAATAAACATTTTCTAATAGAACTGAAGTCATTGCTTCGTAACAGTTCGCTCAAGCATTTAGTTATTTAGTGGAATTCTAGTCAGAGCTGCTAGTGTGTGTGTGTGTGTATGCTCATGCAGATGCATATTCATGTACTGGTGTATAGTTTACTAATTTTTATTATTATTGCACAAATAATTCATGATAACTGAAGAAAATGTGAAAATAGAGATAATATAAATGAAAAAGAAAGGGAAAAGTTTACCTTATACCAGTACTCAAGGACAGGCACTATTGATATTTTGGAAGTATTTCAATCTCTCTAACTCCTACACATAACATATACATATACTTAACATATCAATACAAATGAATATATATTTTTCCAAAAATGGGCTCACACATTTTTTGTAAATGATTTTTTTCCATAAAAATACATAATGATGATCTTTCCATGTCAGAAAATAGAGATTACAGCTACCTTTTAATGACTATATATTATTCCACTGTTTGGATATTTCACTTACCTAGTCCTCTTTTTTCTGTTATTTAGGTTCTTTTTGGTTTTCATAATATTAACATCTATAAGTGAACATCCTTATGCATAAAATATAAAATAATTTTAAAGTATTAAAGATTATTTTTATTTTGCACATGATCAGGGTATTGATCAAGTATGCTAATATTTCTTTTATTCCTTTTTTTATGTTGGGCATCTCAAATATTTCTCCAACTGTGAGCTGGGCTGACATACTTGTATGCAGATATTTTTATAAGTAATACAGTAATATTGAAATTAGGTCCATCTGTTTTTTTCTTCTTTCTACATGGCTTCTTTCTACACTCTTCATTCCATGATCAAATAGATTGCTGTAATTGTTCATTTGTTTTCATTATTTTCTTAATCAAGAGAAACAGAGTTTGACCTTTTGCAGAGTACTTACAAATAAAAGAATAATACAGTGACACACATCATTCCATCATATTTGGTGTGGACATTACCTTGTGGAGTTGTGAAACTGAATATCTATAAGAGGAATATCTACCATGATCTCAATATCTCTCTGTTTCTCTGTTCTCTCTCTCTCTCTCTCTCTCTCTCTCTCACACACACACACACACACACACACGAGAACACATGTAAAACACAAGTACATAAACCAACCCACAGAATCTAATGAAGACCAAGCATACATGAGCAAGCAGAAAAGAAAGGAAAAGAAAAGAGAAAAGCACATGATTTAGGAGTTATTTTGAGTGTCTTGAAGTTTTCCTGAGTGAAAAACCTCAACGATGAAATCTTGGTAATCTTTTATTGTCACAAAGGAGATCCAGGCCAGAAATGACAGCTACTACTGACTTTCAAAAGTCATTATTCTAGACTGGAAACTGAGTACAACTGACATTATCACTAACTTTTCGTCGAGTGTTTTCAACGTGGCAGGCATTGTTCTAAGCGCTTTACTTGAGTTAACTCATTTATTTCTCAGCATCACCCTATTTAGTGGATACTATTAATATCCTCACTTAACGAGAGAGGCAGCTAGGGCACAGAGAGTTTACTTCACTTATCCAAGGTCCCAATTAGTGTGAGTATGAAGCCAGAACCTTTCCTCTTAACCACAGCTATTGCAGTTTTAGAAGAGATCATTCTTTATGATTAATTTTTTCCTTAACAGGGTGATCAGGGAATTCCAGGAGACAGAGGCCCACAAGGTGAACAGGGAAAACCAGGCCTTCCAGGCATGAAAGGGGCCACAGGTCCTGTGGGACCACCAGGAAACAAGGGCTCTGTTGGGTCCCCTGGGCACCGAGGCCCTCCGGGTAATCCAGGCATCCCTGGCACTCCGGTAAGTGGTGCCAAGAGCTCTAGAAGCTCCTGGCTGGTATTGACCTTATATCCCTTTTTCAAATAAAATGAACGAAACTGGTCTCTGCAAAGGTGCCAATGACTGTCATTTAGTTTGAGTTATGTACCACATCCTCCATTAAGCACTTACTATATACATTACCTCACTATATCCTCACAATTAACCTGGGAGGATAGATGTCCTTCCATTCCACTTCTACAAATGCAAAAACTGAGTTGACTTATTCAAGGTCCCAGTTATTTAGTGGGTTAGACCGAGGTTCGACTGATTCTAAAGCCACACTCTTAAATGCTATCTATTATGTCTCACTACACAGAAAATACATGTGTCTGTTTCATATTAAAATTCCATTTTGTTGAATTTGTCCCAAATAGTGCTTTGAAGTGGAAACCAGTTGGA